CGGGATTACAGACTGAGCCACCCAGCCCGGCTCCCCCCAGCACTCTTAGTCAGATAGTGACTTTCCTTTCTAACCGTTATATGACATGTAAACACTCGTAGCTTGAAACTCCCACTTTTCGGTGTCCGTGACCCTTTATTCTTTTTGTTCTCTTGAGTCCATGATAGTTCATTCTCTGACTTTTTCTTGTTTTTTTTTTTCATCTGTTCTTGAAAGGTTGATTTTCCTCAGATTTCATCCTTGATTTTCTTCTGTTTTCATACCATTCTCAGCCGTCGTATCTTCACCATGAAAGCCTTCCATAGTTGACTCCGTGCTGATTATTTCTGAATCTGTAGCTCCAGGCAGAGCTTATTTATAGCTCTTTGCCATTATTTCCAAAGAGTTTTAAAGTCCCATAACAATTTCAAACTCAGCATGTCCAAATCCGAACTCATTGCCTTGCCCCTAAGACTGAGTTCTTGTGCTTTCTCACCTAGTTAATGGTACCACTGCTCAGCTGTGTCGCTCAGGTCAGAACCCAGAGTCCTTGTACATCTTTTCTCTCCATCTTGACCATCATTTGCCACTCAGATTGCAGAGTCGATCTTAGATATCTGTTCGGTGTGCCCCTCCCCGTATCCCCGTTGCCATGCCTCTTGTCGCCCCAGCCCTAATCATCTCCCACCATGACTGCTGGGATGGCTTCCTCACCGGTTTTCTCACCTTCGTGGTTGCTCCCTCCCATTCTTCTATCAGCTGCGTGGGTGTGGGTTTCCTATAACCTGATAGTTTTATTGCTATGCTTAAAATTCTTTACTATTTCTCCATTGTCCTTATAGTTTCTGTGATATGGTGCACAAGTTTCTTTAGGACTTTGGCCCTCTCATTCTCTCCAATTGCGTTTGGTGTTTCTTATCACACCCATGCTGTAGCCTTTCTGATTTATTTGTAGTTTGCCAAGTGCTTTTTTGATTCATATGTTTACATTTGCAGAGATTATGCCTATTGTCTCTATATAGTTTCCTTGTATCCCTATTTATTGAGACTTGCTTATTGATTAAGACTTTTTTTTTTTGAGTTGGAGTCTCACTCTGTCACCCAGACTGGAGTGCCTGCTG